GGGCTCAATTTAAAGGAAAAAACAACTGCGAATAGTATTCTCTTAAACGCCAGTTTAGCTCATAATATATATGCCTGCAATAGAATATAGTCGGTTGATATCACACTCCATTTAGACTTAATTGTGTAAAAATCCTATGCTTGTTGGGGGCGTTAACTGTCGTTTCTGGACTTTCGTTCGAACTGCAACAATGAATGAGTACACGTGGGCCGTTTAGGAAAACTATAACTATCGAATATAAAATATTGAACAACCCACTGAAAGCACTGAAAAGAAGGAAACTCTTCATATCTTCGTGCCTTACCGCTGAATACGATGGCTTCAAGCGTTTAAAATGGTCGACCTATCATGATATATCACCTTTCAGTCGCACTTGCAGCTAAGCCACTACACCTCTAGCTGAATCCGTTGTGATAGATTGTTTCTTACCAACTTTTCAATTTCGGTTCTCAGGAAGAAACCAGCTCTCGCCAGCGATTTGCATGAAAAAGCCTGCTTCCCCATTATACAAAAACGGTGCCATCTCTACCGTGGATGCCTAACGAGAAATCTGGTCGTATACGTTGAACTATGCCTCCACTCAACTTCAATGCAACCTTAGACTTTGCCCGAATCAGCAACGTTTCGACGTCGATTCTTCATGAGAACAGAAATAACAGAGTGAACCTTACCGTAGTTATAGTGCACTGCAGCAATCGCTTTGCGTTACTGGTAGGGCCCGAGAACATTTGGATGACAGTAACAACACAAAGCACAAACGTACGTATGTAGTCCATTGGTGAAAAAAATACATTTGTCAGAAACAGCTAAATCTTCGTTGTTAAGCACCATTCTGAGCGACAAAATGCATTATTGTACTGTCACTCAAATTGGGGAGACTCGAGTGCTGTGTAAACAGGTCACGGCAGCAAGAGTTCACAACGCCTGTGGTTAAGATATTTGTTGTATATTACATCATTATCCACCGAACGAACAACCTTAAACTGAACCACTTTACGCAGAGACAAACGATCGCTAGCCGTTTTGGCATTATCTGCGCAATTATGCTAAACGACATTTAAAGCATCACCTGGGAAACTTCTCACATGATGCGCTAGGTGTGAGAAGAAAGATCAGCATCCATAGTTAGAAAACAATTTGACAAAAAAACTGCGCTACGATGAAAAGAAAGCGAATAACAGAGGATAATACAGCTGTGACTCAGTAGCAAAACATGAACTAGAAACAACGGTGGCATACTCCAAATCCGAAACAGAAGCACAGGTTAATAAGTATAAGGCATTCTTTTGTCAATGGTTCAGAAAGAAGCCGCGAAACGAGCTCAAGGGCTTGAATCATATTTCCCTTGACGCTTGTGTATCGATTATCATTACCGCTGTCTAATTCCTTCTGAAAGTAAAAATGATGTCACGTATCGATAAACGAGTGTCAGTGACAAACCTTGACAGCAACCACGATCTTCAACAGCAAGAGAGAAGCTCTCTGCGAAAGTCGCTGAGAAATTTCGTATATGCTATTCCAGTGACTCCAAATGATTCGTTCGAGTACCTAAAGTTCTTGATCAGGTTCAACTAGGAACAAACAGAAACATGCAGCAACACTCCATGGTATTCAACTCAATAAGTAATCTCTTCTGCACAGAAGATAGAGGACACTATATAGAGAACCGAATGCTAATGAGATACCTCTGCTTGACAGTGCCTTCGCAGAACAATGACATCTATGAAAGTAACAATAATCTGAATTTATAAGTGAATGCAAAAAGTAAAAGCATAGTAGCAGAGGACATCACATTTCCTTCTTGACAATGTTCTGCCATTCGTAGCAGTGAGCGAACGTGTCTCAATTTCGCTGCAACATGCGTCGTTTACAACGCCTCTGTGAAGAAAGATTTACTTTCGTTATCAGGAATTCTTACGTGCAGAAACTGGGCAGAAGCAATGAGAAATGATGCATTAGAAAATTCGGACCTTGAAAAGCGAAAACAAGTTTGATCCTTATCTGCGCAGCTCGACATATGAATATCCCGGAACTGTCTCAAACTCATCTATCAAGTCAAGGGCATTAGCGGCTCAAAGACTGGTAGCGATTATATGGGTCTTATCATCAGCACTCTCGCTGAGTGACCGCAGTAACAGCTCTTCTGTCCCACTTAGCGGCGAACGCCTTGAACTCAGTCGAATACACGAGAAACGAGTCAACGTTTGATTTTCTCGCTCAAACGAATAGATACGCATTTGCTTCAACTCTGAAAATGCATCTAACGCTTAATTACTGTAGTTTAGACACATGAAAAT